TTACTGTCAGAGTCAAAGAAGCCGAGCCCGGGGTAACCGTAGTCTCCTGGGAACAGGGGACGTGGCTCCATAGCAGCCCCCTTCAGGGTTGTTTGGAGCCCCACCGCCACTCGAGGGATTCAGATCGGGCACTCCGCAACGCGGCAGAGGAGGCCGACGCCAACGCCGACACCACCAGCAGCGCGGAAACGCCTCGCGAGGTCATTCCTCCTCACGGCCGGGTTGGTCGAGACAGACGCCCCGCGGTGCCACTTGAGTTGTTCTTCTTTAGACTAGTCAAATGTAGCTTGGCCCATCCCAACACACATGCTTTCCTCGTGAAAATGCCAGATTTGTAATCCCCGTCGTTGCCGTTGATCCGCCACTGGGTTGCCGTGGACTGCTTTCTCTACCACGTGGTGCCTTCTAAGAGACATCATCACGAGGAGTCGGGCTGGCATATGGCAAGGCCCAATCAGTTGGCTTCGAGGCTGCGATCCTCGACACCGCCGCATGACTGCATTATTCGGTACCTGCTCTGTCCCGCTAGCGCAGCATGCGTTCCACGTGGCACAAGCCTTACCTTGACGACATGGCATTGCTCTTTGTCTTGAGATGGGATGGGAGAAGATAGTGTGATGTGTATCTCCCAGCTTCGCCGCATGGGGTGGCGGGAAGACTAGGACGGATGCGACACTGAGTTGTGTAGATATCCAAGAATGTCTGCTCAAGAAAGACCCGTATCGATATCTGGTGGCAAATAGACGAAAAAGCAGCCTGCCCTCAGTCAAGAAGAAGGTGGAAACACACAGACAGACCCACAAGACTCATGACAAACAGAGCATCACCCACTGCCTTCACATCGGCCGAATTGGTTGAGCTCGGCCCGGCCGCCGGATTCGTCTTGGAGCCAGGCGTCGCCGTCCCGGCAGGAAGTGTCGGGAGGGGACCAGTCCGCGATGCTTCAATCATGCCGGGCTGTCAATGAAGAGATTCTGTCAGCACGAACCCGCCCTGAGCTGAGAACACTGCCAGACTCACCAAGCCGGTCCCAATCACCTCCCGAAAATTCCCACACTCGCTGTACCCCAACACACTCTCCATGGTCGCCCCCGTCGCCCGGCATGAGCGGTTCCCCAGAAAATCGCACGAGTAGTCCTTGCGCAGCCGCTCTGGCGCGCACACGCACGACGAAAACCGCTTCTCGCCCTCGGGCGACTCGTCCTCGACAAACGGGAGGCAGCGGTCGAGGAGCACGATGCCCGCCGAGCAGGCCGAGCGGATGTCGTTGCAGTACTCGTCGGGGTAGGGGACGAACGTCGCGGGCGGTGCCGTCGTGGGCGTGAAGGACAGGCTGTTGGACGTCTTGCAGAGACTGCTCCAGGAGAGGAGGCCGGATTCGAAGGTTTCGTCGAGGGCGTTGTTGCGGAAGCATTGGCGGGCTTCGTTTTCGCAGCTGGGGGTGGTGAGAATTGTGGGTCTCCATCACCGGGGGGGGGGTCGAGACGGGGTCTTACCTGAACAACGAGTCGAGGTACGCTTGGTTGCAGAGGCAAGCTTGCTTCCCGGGTCGGTCCGTCTTTGTCGCGCAAGCTTCGCCCGAGTTCAGGAAGGCATTGCAGCCTGGAAAGGTCGTCACCTCCGTGGCAAGGCAAACAAAGCTTGCTGTTGTGACTGCCGTTGTGGTGGCTATCAGAGTGGACAGGACGACAAGATGGGTCTTCATGGTGGAAGGCGTGGCAAGCAAGTTGAACGATATGGAAAGGGCGATAGTATTTCGGTCAAAAGATTTGATCAAAGGCTCGACAAAGACCGGGGGAGGACGGGAGCAAAGCAAAGTCTTCTTATCATTTCAGGCGTGCAAACGTCGAGAGCCTGATGTCCAAATCTTCGAGGCCCGCTCCATCCCAACCTTGGAGAATCCCAGCACCCACACTCCCACATACTCCTGGACATCGTCAGTCCAGGTAGGAATCGAGAGCCCAGACCTCCGAAACCCTGCATTGGGTGCCCTCCATCTCCAGCCGACACACACAAACGGGCACCAATGACAGCGCCGGACCGCCAAGCCACCGTCAAGCATCACCAGTTCCAGCTGAGGGAAACCAAGTCCAGCCCTTCTGCTGAATGAGGGGAAGGTGCGCTAGCACCAAGCCCCTTTTTTTCTCTTCCGTTCCTGGACCAGGCTGAGAGTTCATGCCCACGTCGTAATCTTTGAAGGGTTACATGGCAGGTGCGAAGTGGTGTGGAGGAGTGGCGAGTGCCGAACACGACTCACGAGAGGCTCTTCAGCAGGAAGTCGCCGTGGGGAGAAGGGTCTTGATCTCCGGACAGCGACAGATTTGGAACCTGGGGGTTCTCGCCCTCCCCGACTGTCCACCACCTCCCTCTCCTTTTTCAGGGACTCGAACAACCGCGAAGCCGAGAGCAGCTTCAAGCTTTCTGCGTCGTATGGGCTCTCAGCGCCTTCAATTTTTATGCCTTCACCTGCATTCTTATTTGCAATGCCTTCACCCGAGCTCAGCTACGGGTACCAGGAAGTTTAAACCCCGACTGCAAGTGAATTCCTCATTCCAAAGGCAAGGAAAAAACACTGACTGAATTCCGTGGTCCTCTAGATCTCGAAATGATCGGGGCAATCATCACCGGCATCCTCAAGGCGCTGTGGACATGGGCTGTTGCGCCCCTACGTTGGATTTGGACGATAATACGCCCTGGGCTTGCGGCAATCGGACGAGGGGCATCGAAGATTCTCCCCAAGCTGTGGAAAGCAATCAAGTCTCTGCCAGACCGCATCAAAACACCCGTCGAGGCCATCAAGAACTGGTGGAAACGACCGCCCAAGAAACGACCCCCGTTGCTTCTGACGCGAAGGGGCATGTTGCTCCAGCTTTCGTGCCAGCTCGCCATCATCATCACCCTCTTGATGCTGTTGAAGAGATCCGACAGCAACAAAGGCATCGCAACTGTCCAGGAAAGCGATACTCCATCATACGACGAAGCCCGGGGGTTCAAATCAGCTCCCATTTTCAGCTCCAAGATCGTCTGGGCTACTGTCCCGGCGTGGATCATCTCGGCATACTCGGCGCTATGGTCAGCGATGCTCGACGCGCTCATGGCCGTTCACACTGACATCGAACTCAACAAAAAATACCAGAAGCCTCTCCTTGGAAGAAGAAAGACACTTGGCAAACTGTGGCAGAGGTTCTATCAAAGCTTGCCCCTCCCAAGTGCCTGGCGTCGACAGTCACCAGCCCCTCCGCCACAATCAGCACAAGCCGGGCATTCGACGGCCAAGAGAACCATCCTCTTGGACTACGGAGAGTGGCCTATCCTGAACGGATTCAAGGCATTCAGGACCGGACACATAATTTTGGGCTTCTCGCTGATCCTTAGAGCTGGACTTTGGTCGGCGGGCGGTCTCTCCGCTGCCATTTTCGACGTCGCCGATGTGCCCTTCAAGACCAGCGTCACTCTCCACAGCGATGCCTTCTTCGACGAGTTCCTTGGCTACTACGAGGGAGACTTGAGCAGACAACAAGAGCCGGCATTGCGCGCCTTTGATGTGGTGAGCGCCACACTCATCAGGGGCGGTCAGAACTTGTCATGGACTACCGGCACCCATTCGTTTCTACCATACCTGCCATCGCAAATCAGCACCTCAGGAAACTACACATTTGATACCGAGGCTTATTGGGCATCCATCCAATGCAACTACTACACCGGGGAGAAGCTCCGGACCGAGGGCTTCCTCGAGCAGGCGCTGTGGGATCCCGAGCTCGGCAGTGCTCAGATCCGCCTGCATTATTCCCACGCGGGCTGCGAAATCAACAAGTGGTTCAACGTGTTCAACCACACCGAATACTATGCCAGATCATTTTCCACCACGGAGTGTGGACTGGCCCAAGGACGTGCACGACTTGGCTTTTTCACGGGCAGATACCGCGAAGCTAGCTTTCCTGACCCCGACGGCTTCCTCCTGACCGAAATGGTCATCATGACATGCAAGCCAGACTTTCACCGAGCCAACGTGACGGTCACTGTTTCCATCTCCGACTCTGAGACACCCGGCCGCAAACCCGTTGCTCGGATACTCCACTTTGAAGAGAAACCCGGGAGCACAGAGTCCCTCTGGCCCTACTTTTTCAAGAGGTTCATAGATAACTTGCCGATATACAATGTTGGCACCCAGGCCAGCCTGAGAGATGTGGACAGCTTCGGACGGCTGGTCATCGACCACGCCTCGGACCGGCCGAGGCTCGACTACATCCCCATGGACGCGCGTCTCCCCCACTCGTTCGAGGCCGTCTTCCGCGGCGTGTACTCCAACTACGTCTCGCTGATGGCGTACTCGGATGCGCCGAGGCGGGAGGTCCAGGGAACCCTCGCGCAGGACCAGGTCCGCCTGTTTGTCGTCTACCAGGCCACCTACGCCGTCGTCGCCATCGTCGCGGCCGCGCTGCTGACGACGCTGTTCTTGGCCGTCTACCTGGTCCGGAACCGAGACATCATTCGAGACCACCAGGAGCTGATGCTGGGGACCGCCTTCCTCCTCCGGGATGTCACGGTCAGAGGAACGCCCAGCGGGGTCGGCGAGTATCTCGACGCCGTGAAGGATCGGGCAAAGGCGACACCGGACGTCAACTTGGTCAAGGTGGCAGAGCAGCACGCGGATCTCAATGATTGGGAGGCATGGGTCGAAGGCGGGGTGATGCGGATGGAGAACCCGCGGGCCGTGTCGGCGGGGAGCACGCCCACCGTTGCTGGGAATTCGCCCACCGGACTGGGGCCATTGTCGGCGCAGGCTGGCGGGTCGCCGGCACAGAGCAACGCGGGCGGCATACCGTTGCAGAACATTCCAAGCGGTCGGCCGCAATTGCCAAATCCCTAGGGGGGGTGTTGGTTTCGCTTTCGGTGAAAGGGTTTTGACGACACCCAAAAGAAACACGGCAGACATGACGATGACACATGTGGCCGCGGGGTGGGGATGGACACCATGCCCTGGAGCAAAAAGATGGCTGTAGGGGAACTGGGATTCGAACCCAGGACCTTAGGAACCGGCATTTCTAGGACACGTTTCGCTGTTTTTTTAGGGAAAAGAGACCAAATGCAAGTTCGCTGCGCTCTCACCACTGAGCCACTCCCCCGACTGATTGTTGAAAACTAGGTGCAGCGTTTCCGCTTATACCCGACGGGAGGGACGGCTCTGGGCAGCAAAAAGATAGCTTAGGGAGAACTGAGATTCGAACTCAGGACCTTAGGAACCGGCATTTCTAGGGTACGTTTCGCTGTTCTTAGGGAAAAGACCAAATGCAAGTTCGCTACGCTCTTACCACTGAGCTACCCCCCCGACAGATTGTTGAAAACCAAGTGTCGCGTTCCAGCTTATGTCCGACAGAGGGGACGGCTCTGGACAGCAAAAAGATAAGCGTAGGAGAGATGGGATTCGAACCCATGACCTTAGGAGCCGGCATTCTAGGTTCGTTTCGCTGTTCTTAGGATAAGGACCAAATGCAGGTTCGCTATGCTCTGTCCGCTGAGCCACTCCCCCGGTGAATTGTTGAAAACCTAGGGAGTGGTTCCGGTATATGTCCTGCCGGAGAGGGGACTCTGGACAGCCAGAAAGATAGGCGTAGGAGAGATGGGATTCGAACCCATGACCTTAGGAGCCGGCATTTCTAGGTACGTTTCGCTGTTCTTAGGATAAGGACCAAATGCAGGTTCGCTGTGCTCTGTCCGCTGAGCTACTCCCCCTGGTGATTGTTGAAATGTATAGGGAGGGGTTTTGGCTTATGTCCCAGTGCTGCGTCTTGGGGAGGGGGCATGATGCGGTGTCTGACGGCGGGGCATGTTGACGTGAATGCCTGGACTGGCAGTCTTCTCGACCAACACTGGACTTTGTCGGGGATTTCACACCCCCGCACAACATGTTGAACATTTTTGACATAACTTGGTGGATTTAACAAGGCCTGGGGAATGGCAGCTAGACACCATCAACTGTGCTGCACGCCGTTCAAGTTGTCATTTTTTATTTGAACCCAAGCCCGATACAGGTTGGTTGGAGACGCACTCCTCGCGTCGTTGCAAAAGGGAACCGGAACTGCACCACACTCACTGCCCGTGTGACGTCAAAGAAGCCATAGCCAACATTCCCGTCATCACAGAAAAGCACGCCGTAGACAAACAAACTGGCACCCACAAGTTACAGACACGGATGTAATCACCGCAATTGCAATGCATCGTCGCCGACCGACGTTGACCGACCGACGTCGCCCGTATAAGTCACCGCCCCACCAATCCAAACCGCCGCCCCTCGGTTAGTGGAGATCTCCCGCCGCCCGGCCCCACTCCCGCGATCCCGGCTGGGCTTAGCGGCGCCGACGGTGCATGCCCGTCGCCGACGCCAAGGGGGTTTGATCGACTGACCCTGCCGCTTTTGACACCACGATCCGGCGATATAGCACCACTAATGCCCGGGGCCATGCCGCTCCGACTGGTGCGGGAGTGAGAGCATTATGGCGCCGACGGCGGCAGGATTGAGTGCGGTGTTTGTCAGCGCGGGGGGTCATGAATGCCGGCTGGTATCGAGAGAGTGTGTCGGCTCGTCTATAAGAGCCTGGTATCTCTCCTCGTCTCTTCATAATTCATCATCATTATCACTTCCTTCATCATTTGACACCTTACAACTTGCTCACATCTCGCACAACACATCCAAAATGTCTCTCCCCAAGTACACCTCCAAGCTCTCCTCCCGCCGCGTCCTCGTCCTAGGCGGCACCTCAGGCGTCGGCTTCTGCGTCGCCGAAGCCGCCCTCGAACACGGCGCAACCGTCATCATCAGCTCCTCCAACCCCACCAAGATCGCCAACGCCCTCGTCCGCCTCAACCCCGCCTCCGCCCTCCCCGTGACAGGCACGCCCTGCGACCTCGGCTCCCCCGACACCGTCGAGGCCAACATCAAGGCCCTCCTCGACTTCGCCACCGACTCGGGCCGCCACCCGCTCGACCACGTCGTCTTTACAGCCGGCGACCCGCTCGACGCGCCGCGCATCGAGGACGCCACCCCCGCCAACGCCATGAAGCTGTTCCAGGTGCGGTTCCTGGGAGCGGTGATGCTGGCCAAGGCGCTGTCGGGTTTTATCAAGAAGGACGCGGGTAGTTCAGTGACATTCACGGGCGGGACAAACACGGACAGGCCGATGCCAGGATGGGCGCTCGTGGCGGGGGTCGGGGCGGCGGTGGAGGGGTTGACGAGGGGGTTGGCGGGGGATATGCGGCCGGTGCGGTTCAACGTGGTGTCGCTGGGGGCGGTGCATACCGAGCTGTGGGGGAGTATGGCGGGGGAGGGGCTGGAGGGGTTCGTCGAGGCGTGCAGGCGGGGGACGCTGACGGGGGAGGTGGGACGGCCCGAGGACGTGGCGGAGGCGTATTTGTATTGTATGAAGGACCGGTTTGTGACGGGGGAGGTGATCAAGACGAATGGCGGCAGGATGCTGGTGTAGGGGGTCAGTCGGGGATGGCGGAGAGGACATCGAGGTCAGGGAAGCATGTCCATTTGCTGCAGGTTCGCAGGATGCCGCGGCTCCCTTCAGATTTGATGATGAGAAGGTCGGTGGGGTCGTGGCGAAGGTGGAAGAATAAACCAACACGGAATTTTTGAACACCGCTGAATGATTCCTGGAGACGGTCGAGAATTAGGACCATGGTTTCTAGGTCGGCGCGTAGGGCGGGGTCGCGCCGGGGTGAGTCTGGAGGCGATGGGCTAGACAAAAGATACTCGATAACGAGGATGCGAGCGCAGACAAAGATGGGGGCCGCAAGCAGTGGGTTCATCAAGAGGTCGACAGAGACACGGCTGGCCTCGCGGATGAGGACGGCCGTGCTGCGTGCCGTAGCGACACATAGGTTCCAATTGTCCTGATCGCACTCGGCTTGAGCAGGAGGCTGTGCACTCTTCTCTGGCGTGTGATACAAAAAGATGGTGTGGACATCCATGGATATTCGGAGCCAGACGGCGTGTCGGAAATCGGGGGCACTCGCAGCTGCAAGGTCAGTGGCGGACCGGGGAAGTACCAGTCGCATCTTTGTCAGAGTCTGCTCGAGGGTCTCGCGCTCGGAGCGATGGTGGTCGTCATGCTGGTCGTATTCGGGCGAGTACATGTGCTCGGAGATGCGGCCGAGGAGGGAGTAGGAGATGATGAGGTAGTGCAGCGGGTTGTTTACTGTGTTTCGCTGCAACGACTCCAGCAGCGCCTTTGGATCCTGCGAGTATACGGGTGTGTCTTGTGGCTGTTGGGGATGGTATTAAGTACTACGCTGACATGGAAGGGTTTCAGCAAAGCGTACCTCTTCAGAATCCTGAAAGACGGCTTCCATCAAGGGCAACCGGACCCGGAGCTGGCGATCGTCGATGGCATGGGCAAATCCAGCAAGGAAGCACATGGCTCGATCGAGCATGAACAACGTCCAGACGACGCGCCGGCGCTGCTCCGTCTCTCGCCAGTCTCGGGATGCCGGCAACGTCGTGCCCCGCAACATGGTCCGGGTCGGTGCGTCCATGTAATGGAGACCGAGAGCAACAGCTTGCCTCCAGGCCTTGCCGAGGATCAGCAGACCATCGGAGTGGTCTCCCACCGTGAAGGCGTAAAGGACAAGGCATGCGGCGGATTGGAGGGTCTCGAGTGGATGGTCTGGGGTGTGACCGGTGGCTTCATATGTTGTCTTGGCCTTTTTGTACCAGAAGGGACGGTTGGCCCTGACATCGGGGTCGGAATGGGCAAAGGAGGCGACAGCCATGATGGAGTACAGGAGCAAGGGGCAGGCGGGAGATGTCCCTTGGGCGAGGACGGAGTCCCGGAGGTTCCGGCGGTGGAAGAGAGGGACGAAGCAGTGGACACGGTCAAAGAAGAGATCGACGATGTCGATGACAATGTTGATATTGAGGTTTGGCTCTGGCTCGGGGTTGATCGAGTCGTCCCATCGGCGGGCCCGCAACCAGACTCGTGATGGGGTGTGATGGAGGAACAGAGATGGGAAAACCGGCCGAATTCATCCCTTCCCATGGCGAGAGTTGACCACTCTGGGCAACACTTGAGTCGAGCGCGTTAAATGCATTGTTGGCATCGGAAAGCGTAGACGTCGGCAATGTTGGGTCGATTGAGTTGATGAGGAGGTCGTCTGGAGGTGACAGGGCGTAAAAGGGGTCATTGATGCCGGGGTGGCCCCAGTCAAACGGGAACGGGGCCGGTCCGGACACGGTGAAGCCACCGGGGAAGAGGGCGCCAGACCGGACTGTGGATGCCACGGGAAACTGGCCGGACTCAACGGGCCCGTAGCTGCAGAGGACGCCGCGTTTCAAACAGGATGAACATGCCGGCTGGGTGGCCTGGAAGATGTTAGAATGGAGGCATCACCTTGGGATGGAAGGGCAGACATCGCATTTCTTCTTTCTGCTCCGACAGGCAGCGCAGACGAGCTTTTGGCGCGTGTTTCCCATGGTCAGATTGGAGGACCTGCAAGGGCGCTGGTGTGCAGCATCCGGCTGTCGTTGTCGGTGGTGGTCATCGTCGAAATGGGAATCATGGGATGAGCCGCCCGACGTTGGTGAAATGGTGATGGAGGTTGGCGGAGTTCCGAGCCCCCCGGGAATCAGACTCTCAGGGCACCTCGACCCCCAAGTGCCCTGAAGAGGGAAATGCTCGGCACAAAGCTGCCCCCCACCAGACCCGAATCCCCTGTCAGCAACACGTGATGCACCTTTCCCCCGCGCCGCGGTTGGTCAGGACCACAACACTAAAAAAAAGCATCACGAGGTTCACGACCCAGCCCACCCCTCTTTCTTCCACCCGAGTCCCGACTCTCTTCCACCCAACTCACCACCAGGAAGATCGAGTTCCCGCATCATCACCACGACCACCACCGAATACAACAGCAGCCAGCCATGGACGCCCCCTCGCGCCGGCCGCGACAAGCCGTCCACCACTTCTCCCTCCGCTACCTCGTCCTCCCGCCCATCGCCCTCGCCCTCCTCACCGGCTGGACCCTCTGGGCGCACAGCGACACCAACATCTACATGCTCTACTCGCAGTGCCACGCGCGGTCGCGCGTGCCCTTCCTGTCGCACCTCCCCGTGGTCGGCTCCCCGCTGTGCTTCCTCGTCTCCTTCTTCCAGGAGGCCCTCTCGGGCGTCCGCGCCTCGGCCATCATGGCCGCCGTCCTCTCGCTCATCGCCGGCCTCCTGACCGTCTCCACCGTCGAGGCCGCCCGCATCTGCAACGCCCCGGCCCTGCTGATCGCCTACCCCACGGGCGCCTGGCTCGTCTTCTCCCTGCTGGGCGGCGCCATCGCCTG